TAATCAAACAAGGGTATAAAGTCTAGAGGATGACCTAAATATAAAGTCAATGTTAATACCTCAGGACATTGATCAATATGCCATTCTTATAAATAGTATTTATTTGTATACCGGGTTCCAATCAAATTTTGCTAAAATATCAGGTTATATTCACGCTACGCCACCCAACGAGAATGGATTGAACACGAGGTAGCGTATGCATGGGCAGCCATTCTCACTGAGCAGTCTAGCGAAAATGACAGGATGTTGACACGTGGCAAAAGTATATGTATTTTCTGCTAAAGCTATTCAAGTGGTTATTCTCGCTGAGCTGCCCAGTGAGAATGACTGTACTTTTGTCACGTGTCAGCATCTTGCCATTCTCGCGGGGTTGCTCAGCGAGAATGGCTGTCCATGCAGACGTTGCCACATGTACAGTCCATTCTCGCTGGGTGGCGTAACGAAAATGTGACGTGACATTTTGGCAAAATTTAATTAAAATGTGGCATACCGATATTTTTTAGTCACAAGTGTGTCATAATGGTCAATGTCCCCCAACCCAAAAAAAAATAAAAATGAGTTATGTAAATGATAACACACCAAGGGTTACTCACATATATTGAACAAAGTTCACAGATGTTATACACATTTTACCCAACATATGCTCCTTGGACCTCATTAAATTTGAGTGAGAATAAAGTTATTGCAATGCAACAAACTTGCGACCCTCGCTTCTTGTCTGCTTCACATGGCAATATCTAGATTATTAAGGCAAACGGAGCAAAAACACAAATTACCCTGTTTTTTATGGACATTGTAGTCTTCATTACCCCCTTTCATTGCATATCAAGATGCCGTACTTAAGGTAAATACATTAGATTTACGTCTCTAAAAAGTGTTTCTTCCACTCATGCTTTTCATTTAAGCAAGCAATAGCCGTTGGCCTTCAATTATATATACATAAAAACTGACAATAATTGGATATCTGATTGTGATGGAAACATATGTCATGCTGTTGTCATAATGAATTAAATCATCCCTCTGTTTTGGGAAATTTATTCAGTGGTTTTTTTTTTCCCTATCTCTCTTGTCTCTCTATCCAATTCTCTCTAAAAGAATCTTGAGGACCGAGCCCTTCAAATATTCTCTCCTGTTTTGGGCAAACAATAGTAAGATAATAAGAGGAGATTAGAGATTTAGAGGTGTAAATAGGTTATGTTATGTTAAACTTGGACCTAAATAAATTAGATTTATGTATAATATATTGAGCCTCTCCTATTCTAATTTGATATAGGTTAAATTATAGGCATAACGAATATCAAGCATGTAGTTTAATTTTAGTGGAGGTTGTTCTAACTTAACTAGTTGTCTCGAGACTTGAGTACTCAAGCTTGACATGATTTATTTAAAAAAAAAACAAAGGCTTTGTCAAATTAAAATAATATTTATTTTATTATTTAAAATTATTAAAATAATAATTTTATTTTATTTAAAATAAAATAAAGGATAAAGCATCAAACGAGCTTCTTAATGCACGCACTATTTCACATAATGCTCACAAAACTACAAACATAAGAATCTTTATTATCATTGGATTAAAATTAAATTAACGACAATAAGTGTAACCTAACCCTTGTTTTGTTTTAAACCTAAAAATAAAGTTAATAAACTTAAGAATTAGCATTTGTGCATTATATGCTACGAAATGTTAGGTGATTACATTATTCTCATTACTTACGTTGTATCGACACCGACACGGGATATAGGATACAATACGGCACGACACTCCGATACATTAATTCTAAAAAATGTTAAATTTTGACACGTCAGGACACATTTTAATATTATATAATATTTTAAATTTATGTAGTGTATATTATATATAATATTCAATAATTTAACAAAAAACAAAAACTAAATCATAATATATCCCAAATGTTTATATTAAACTCAATAAAATAGTAATCGTAATTCAACGAATCTAATAGTTGGAACTCAAAATGCAACACAATATAATCTTTGAACCTTTTTGAGTCTTTGCAATGAGTATTGGAGTGTCGGAAAGTGTCGGAGTGTCGGTGAGTGTCAGAAAGTGTCAAACATGACACGTCAGAGATTTTAAAGTGTCGGTGCTTCATAGCTCATTACATTAGTTATATACGATTTACATATTTATAACATTTAGTAAATGAGAAATATATTTCTTATATTGCATGAGATAATTTTATCTCCTATATACACAAAATAGTGTATGAAGCTCATGTTTTCTTTTTCTCTCTCTTTTCTTCATATGACTCCAGATGGCCTATACACTTTTATGTGTACGTAGAAGATAAAGTTATTTCCTATAACATCGGAACATTAATCCCTTGGCAAACATCTTTAAATTCGTATTATGGGTGAATATATTTCAACTATGGTTTGTGAATTTGTGATATTTTAAAGGGGGTAGTTGCTACATATTTAAAATTTAAACTCAAAAATCATTTGTTAAATGGCTGAAGTGAAAGAAATTATTTATTTATTTTTAATATATAAGGAATTATTTAATTCTTAATTGCAAGTCCGTACTAAAATCTGAGTGCGTGATACGGATAGAGTTAAAATAAGATCTATTTCAAAGTTTTGAAACAATAACTTCTATACAAAACTTTCTTTTGACATGCAATTGCATATATCATGCTAAAATAGAATATATGAAACTTTAGTACCAGTGCTTTGGGTAAGCCTTTTTTTTAAATATTATCTTAGCAGAAAAATATTTTTATAGTTACTGCAGATAAGTTATCTGCATTTATTCCTAAAACGACGTCGTTTGAAGATTAAAAAATTAAAAATTAAATTATAAAGACGATAATAATCCTGAAATAAATAAAAATTACAAAAACACCATGATTTCCATCCCAAAATGACGTCGTATTCGACTTACTACAAATAACTTATCTACCGTTACCGCAGAAAAAATGAACCCTTATCTTATTTGCATTTAAAATTTAGGATTTTATGGCTAACAAAGTTTGTATTTCAAGTGACACATGCTTGAGTCTCTAAGATTGAAATGTGATGATGAAATATTATTAAGTATGTGGATCAATTGATAAGGAGTTATTTGAGCTTAATTAGTAGATCTAATGAATAATATCCAAAAGAAAAGAAAATATGATGATCATCTGAATTTCATCTTCAACTAGATAAGTATATTTACTCTTTTCTTTTTTTTGGTATAAAGTATATTTACTCTTCTTGGTGTTTGCACTTATTTCTTCAACTAGATACTGTATAAGAACCTTACCAAAAAAAAAAAAAAAATACAGTATAAGAAAATATAGTTTTTGGGATGGGAAAAATATGTGTCATTTTAAAGGATATAAAGTTATGTCATTTTACGAGAAAGAAAGAGATATATAAAGGAGAAAAGAGAGTTGACAAAAAAAAAATAAAGGTGTGAGTCTCACCTCTTTGTGAGAGTGAAATGATATAAGTTGTGTCGTTTAAAATGATAAACATTTTTTTCTTTTGGGATCTATTCAAAATAATACGTCTTTGACAAGTCTTATTTTTAGTTTCTCTTTTTAAAAATAGGAAATTGAGCCAAATATCATTTTACAAAATCTTTTATCATAAAAAGAGTTTTTTTTTTATAATGATTAAAAAAGAAAAAGCTCTCACGAGCAATTTTTTTTTTAAAGATGTATGCCAACTTTTTAGCATCCTCATTTTATTTTTTAGTATCTAGCTAAAAATTCTCCTTTACCTCAATGATTTATTTTAATGGCAAATCATTTCATGTCCCCTCTTCAAAACACTAAAAACACTATTAAAATTTTATATAATCGTCATATCTTTTTTTTAAGTTTTTTTTTTTTAACTTAGTTAAAAAAATAACTTTTAACTTAAAAAAAATTACGTCAAACATGCTCTTAATCTATTCTAAAACCACTTATTTTCACAAAGAATAAAAAAGCCCACTTATTCCTGTTACGCTTTAGCACATTTTTATCACAAAGAAAAGAAACTTCGTTCGGTCCTTATTCATTTTTATTTTTGGGTCATTGGTCCTTTTCATTATATATGCCCAGGAGAAGTGTTTTCTAGTTGTGATATCTAGAAATCTGTATATTCTCTTTTTTTCTTTTTATAATGGTGGGACCCATAAAAGCCATGGAGAGGAAGCCATTCTTCTTCTTCTTTTTATTATTATTATTAATGCCCTCTCTCTTTTTTTTTCGGTAAACATTAACTTCCTGTTTTCTTTATTCTTATTTTATCCATCTCTCATTTTTTTCATACATTAAAAAGTTGAGGTTATACGTACGTTTCCTTTTATGTACATAAAGTAAGTCCCCTTAATATCTACACAGCACAAGTGAAAACTACATTTTACATTACTCATCCAGCACATGACAATGGCTCACACACCATAGCTTTGCTTTGTAATGCACTTCTATCTATAAATAAAATATGATCCCCAAATTACATAAAAAAAATGCCTAAATAAAAAGTTAGGATTTCATATTATTAAAATAACAAAATTTAACTTCCTATAAATAGAGTGCTAAACACCCTTTTATAAGGTGTCAAAAAAACCTAAAACACAATTAAAATATGTCTAAAAAATAAAATTTTATGGCTGATTACAAATAAATAAGCATTAAACACATCTAAAATAAGAAAATAATTAAAATTCAAACCAGTCTAATAATTAAAAGATTAAGGAAACATATCAAATCACATTCCAAATAGAATCCTTCCCATATAAACCAAATCTTAGTTCATCAAAACATTTTTTTGTCAACCACTGATATTTCCAATGATAGTACTACAAGAACTCTTAGAATTGAACCTTCTTTTTCTGTCTTCATATTCTACTTTCCTTTCTTTTTAGTACTGGCCATGATCTTCTAACCTCAACCAACACACATCAAATTCCACAACACAAGTTCACTATACCACATAGACACAGCTTCTCAATCATCAATATATTCACACCATTAACATATCCTCAAGAACTTGCTCTCTAAATGGCAGCTTTCATTTCCAACTCAAAACCTCAACCAAGAAAAAAAATCATTCTTCTCCTCAACGTATCCTTTCTCTTCCTCCTCTTTCTCTTCCTCAAAGCCTATCTCCACCCTTCAAATTCTAATTTTCATGCCTCCACAACCATCTTCAACCATGCAAGAATGCTAAGTGACATCAGAGTTGATGGTTGCACTGATCTTCACAAGTACTCAAATTATAGCTCTAAGTGCTTATATGTCAAAACCCATCTTGACTGCAGATCAAAAGGGTACATTAACTATCTTCAAATCTTCTATTGTAATCTTGGACATTCCCCAATTTTGGGTCATGCCCTTCTTGTACTATGGCTTGTGGTGTTGTTCTATCTTTTGGGTGACACAGCTTCAAATTACTTTTGCACCTCCATAGAGGGTTTGTCTGATATCCTGAGACTATCTCCCACAATAGCTGGAGTAACCTTGCTTTCTCTAGGGAATGGTGCTCCTGATTTTTTTGCTAGTGTTGTTTCTTTCACAAGATCCAACAATGGTGCAGTTGGTCTCAATAGCATTCTGGGAGGGGCCTTTTTTGTCTCTAGTGCTGTCTTGGGGATCATAAGTATTCTAGTTAGCCCAAATGAAATTGCAGTTGATAAGGCCAGTTTCATTAGAGATGTCATTTTCTTCCTTCTCTCTCTGTTAATCCTCCTTGTCATCATTTCCATTGGTAAAATTAGCTTGTTGGGCTCAATCTGCTATGTTTCTATCTACTTCCTTTATGTCTGTGCAGTATCTGCAACACATTTCATCTATGGAGGGGACAAGAAAGATGGCGAATTCACAGCCTCTTCTGATGACATAGTAGAGTCTGGCTTGCCATTGCTGGCCTATGTTGATGAGGAGAAACCAAATTTAGCAAATAAAGTGGCTATTGATCATAAGGAGGAAAGTTTTGATAATGATTCATTTGATTGTACTTACTTGGGCAAGTTTCTTCTACAAGTACTAGAATTACCTCTTTGCTTGCCAAGAAGACTTACTATACCATTAGTGAGTGAGGAGAATTGGTCAAAGCCATATGCAGTTATATCTGTCACATTAGCACCAGTTTTGTTTGCAGCTCTTTGTAATACACAGATGGAAAACATGAGTTCAAGGAGTGGTCTAGTTTCTTACTTAATAGCTGCTTTAATTGGCATTGTTTTTGGGAATATGGCATGTGTGACTACCAAGAGTTCTAGCCCACCAAGAACGTGCTTGTTTCCTTGGCTAGCAGGGGGGTTTTCTATGAGTGTAACATGGACTTATATTATTGCTGAGGAACTGGTTTCTCTTTTGGTTTCAATTGGAAATATCATAGGGGTTAGTCCTTCAATCCTTGGATTAACTGTCCTAGCTTGGGGTAACTCTCTAGGGGATTTGATAGCCAATGGTGCAATGGCCAAGAATGGTGGGGCAGATGGGACCCAAATAGCTGTCTCTGGTTGTTATGCAGGTCCAATGTTTAATATTTTGATGGGTTTGGGCTTGCCTCTTGTTCTATCAGCATGGTCTGAATATCCAGACTCTTATGTCATTCCTAAGGACCCTTCCCTCTTTGGGACACTTTTGTTCTTGATGGTAGGGGTGCTTTGGGCCCTTGTGATATTGGTGAAGAAGAATATGAGGCTTCATAAGTCCTTGGGGGCTGGGCTCTTGACCATATACCTATGTTTTTTGTTTATAAGATTAGCCATGGCTATTGGTTTTCTTAAATTCTAGATTTGCACTTTCATAGGAAAAAAGGTCCCATTCTCATTGATGTAACTCGTGGAAATTACTTAATTTTTATCCATGTTTTACACCATAATATTGCACGCTAATCAAGACCACAATGATTTTCTTTTTCTTTTTCTTTTTCTTTTTTGTTACAAAAAAGTTTAAGAAGAAGAGAAAATATCATATTCAAAACTTAGAAAAAAGTTTCAACAAATGTTAGCAATCTTTTTTCTTTTTTTTTTTAAATATATGCTTGCAATAATACTTATAGATTATACTATTTTAAATATATGCTTGCAATAATACCATGAAAATATGGCGAATAGTGTAAAAATCTTTTAAATGAAATGCTTATACACTAATTTTGAAACAACCCTCGTTAACCACAATGATTATGGTTCAACTAAATATTTACATAAGAGACTCAATTTAGAGCTCATAAAATAGAAAAGTCCCTCCATATTGTTCAAGGAAGAGTTTTTGTTCTTCCAAGATCATCTCAAGCCTTGGTTTAAAGGGTGATACAGAGAGAAAAAACTAGTAAATAGAAATTAATCGTAAAGATTCCTCGTTGTTTTTTTTTTTTTACTTTTATGTGGGTTTAAGAATTTTCTCCCGGAAAAAGATGAAACCATTCATAATTGTAAAAATAAAAAAAATGGATGTAATGAAAAACTTGTAAGTTTTATAAAAAAAATTTATATAATAATAAGTATTATTAAACCCAGATCGGGCATTGACTCGATCGATATATCAAGTCAATGGATCACTTGTTTAACTTGAATATTAGTTGAACCGGTTGAATTTCTTATATATATACATGAAGAGAATTACGAAAAACCAAAGGTAAGAAACAAAAAAAGAAACAAAAAAAGAACCAAAATAGTCAGCGACCACCCCTAATACGAGGAGTGGCTGAAGAATCCGCAAACAAATACAATATAAGGCCAAAAGGGGGATCCGAAAAAGCACAGTCATCATCCATTTCCGGGTGATCGAGCAGAAGATTCGCTATCCAACCAGCGCAGCTGTTAGCCTCCTTCATCACGTAAATGAAATGAACTTGCCAATTCTAATTGATTAATGCTCGAATCCAAGTCACAAAAGATGGTTCTCGAGCTATGTCATCATATTTGGTGAGCAACGCAACAATAGAGCTAGAGTCGCTTTCAAGAACAAACCTCATGATACCCTTGTGCCAAGAAGGGTGGAGGCCCTTCAGAATACCCCATAATTCTGCATTCCATGCTAATCAAGAACCAATCTTGTAAGCAAACCCACATTTCCAACTACCATTTAAGTCGCGCAAAACCCCAACACATGCAACCACACTTGGGTTTCCCCGAGAAGCACCATCTATGTTAAGTTTTATAAATTCTGCTAGAGCAGGCAACCAAAGAATGTGACGCTGAGATGGAAGATGAGTGTCCCTTTCAAACGCAGCACACACTTGCTGTGCAAGGTCAATCATAACAAAATGCAAGTGTAACAAAGGAAGGGGTGGCTGGCCGTGCACAACATTGTTACGCCAATTCCAAATCAACCAGCAGCCAACAACAAAAATTGTAGTCCAAGGAATCATACCTATAAATTTAACCTTATGCTTCCAGTTCCATTGTAGCCATTCATGAAGATCTGTCCCAAAGAAAGTCTCTCTGTTCGAAGGTGGTAGAAGCGCAGACCAAATACTTTTAATTTTAGAGCAGTCCCAAACAACATGCAGCAAGGATTTTGTTTGTTCATTGCAAATGGGGCACCGATGATATCCATGTGACCAATATGCGCTCCATACTTTGGTAGGAAATTTGTGATAGGCTAGTTTCCTTTGAAAAATTTTCATGCGTCGAGGACCTTGCAAGGTCCACAAATTTTTACAAAATGCACATGGCAATTGAGCATCATCTGCTAGGGTTCCTAATAAATCAAAGTAGCAATTTTTTAATGTGACCAAGTCCATATTTTCCAACCTTCCAAATCAAAGATCCAGCCCATCCTCGGTTGCCAGCAGCAAACAGCTTCGAACCTGCTGAATAGTATTTGCAGGCAACCAAGTTCGCAATAGCTCAACCTGCCAATCTCCGTTGTCATCAACATAATCACAAACTAACTTTTGGAGTTCTACTTCCGATACTAGGTTGATCTCTTTCCTCAAACAAAGGCTTTAGCCCCGGTGCCCACCTATCCTTCCAAAATGATACCGAAGAGCCATTACCAATCTCTCAGATTACCTTATCCTCCATATAATGCCAAGTCTGACAAAGAGATGCCCATAACTGGGAGCATCCAGCCCTCGCGATTATGTAGAAACACCAGCACTGCTACTCTGATATTTACCCCTCAGGAATTTTGCCCGCAGAGAATCTGTTTCATTGTGGAAGCACCAAACCAATTTCGATAGGGTTGCATCATTAATTACATTTAACTATTTCAATCCCAACCCACCAATCTCTTTTGACAGAGTTAGAGTATCACATCCAATAGCGTGGTGTCTACAAGTTTCCTCCGTGTCCCCCCAAATAAATATCCTCTAAATCTTTTCAATTTGAATTTATATAAAGATATTTAATAAATATAGTAATAGAAGGAATATGACAATTAAATTGTGGTTTATTAGTTAACGTTACACTCACTTTTCTTAATGGATTTTATTTCTCTCATTTCACATAAGAGAAATCTTGTTTCTTGCACATAGAACAAGTGGTGGAATCCACTTTATTTATAAAAAAAAACACAAAAATTGAAGTGAGAGTAGGAAAAAAAATTTCTCTTACATGAAATGCGAGAAATAAAACCCTTTCTTAATATGTGTAATTGACTAATTGTGGTGAGATATTTTGCAATTGATTTTAAATTTCGGTTCAACTAGAAAATCAATACCCGTTTAGTACCATTGAATCTGTTTTAAGACTATTGATTCTTAATCGATTTGTATGCATGACCTATGAAACACCGATACTTCAAAATCCTGACGTGTCGTGTCCGACACTTTTCGACACTCAACGACACTCTGACACTTCCCGACACTCCAGTACTCGTTACAAAGACTCAAAAAAGTTCAAAAGTTACGTTGTGTTGCATTTTGAGTTTCAACTATTAGATTAGTTAGATTACGATTACGATTTTATTGAGTTTAATATAAACATTTGAGATATCTTATGTTTCTTTGCAAAATTGATGGGTATTATAAGTTTAGATTTATTTTTTGTTAAATTATTGAATACTAAATATAATATATACTACATAAATTAAAAGTATTATATAATATCAAAACGTGTCTTAATGTGTCAAAATTTAACATTTTCTAAAATTAACGTGTCGGAGTGTCGTATCGTGTCGTATCCTGTGTCAGTGTCAATGCAATATAGTGCATGACTAATCAACTAATGGAGGGGACCCTTGAGTAATTTGATTTCCAGGGGGCGTTTGGTTGAGGAGAAATTTTTTAAATACTAGAAAAATGTAATTGATAGGGAAATGGTTGGAAAGTGAGTTTGATAAAAAAATGTAAAAAAAGTTGTTTGATTAGAAAAAATTTATGTTTGGTTGAAAGTGAAATATTAGTAGAAAAATAGGATTCAATTACCACAACACCCCTTTGCTTATTTGGTTTTTATATGAAAGAAAGAGAAAAGAAACCCCAACCATAGGGCATTTTTGTCATTACAAATTGAGCTCTTTTTAGTTGCCCAGCTAAATCTCAAAAACCACCGTTTCATGTGATTTTTCAAAACAGTATTTTCTATCTATTTTGCAAATGAATTGCAATGGATGGGGAAACAATTTTGATGGTAAAATTTGTTAAATACTTGCACCAAACATGGTTAAATAGAAATCTCAATAAAAGTTGCCTAGCTATCCATATTAAAAACTCTTACCAAAAAACACCGTGCCAATTCAATTGATCGGATCAACCGGTCTTTTATATCACTTTTTAAATTAGATTTTATATTTTTTTTTTTTTTTTTTTTTTTTTTTTTTGTAAATATATATCTTTTTTTTAGATAATACAACAAATAAACATATTGTAACACATATATTCTTTATTTATTTTATTTTTAAAAAATATATAAAAATATCAAAGCGCGAATGACAAATTTTTTTACGTGTAAATAACATTAAAAAAAATGTTATGTTGTCACCATCATAACTATCATAGCCTTTCTTTTCCTCTGTAGTTTTATTTGAACCTAATCTGCTAGGAATTACACTAGTATTATAACGTGTATGTGTATAGGGTGAACTATTAACTATTTGTTTAAATTTTATTTTATAATAAAGATTTATTTATTTTTTTCAAAAAAACTAATAATAAAAAATAGTCCATAGATATTGCACATCCATGTGCAACTTGGGGGGCAATAATTGGTAGAATAAAATTGATTGCATGAACCAAGTCCATAATCCAAGTCATAGTGGGCCATTTGCAGCATGAGTTTGGGGATAATGGGGTTGAGTTTTGGAATGAAGTTAAGGCTGAGGTAGAGGATAAGGTGAGGATGATATGGTGATGGAGGAGCATTCCTTATATGAAACAGGTGTTATATGGGGGAGATTTCTCTGATTATACAAGTTCAGAGTCTTCAAACAATTATTATATTGTAGAATATAGTCCAATTTGGGCTAGAAATTGGGTTTTATTTCCTACAAAATAGAAGTGCAAATTACTTGATTTGGTAATGGACCCTGCAATATATATGGGTCTGACTCACTGAGATAGAGATATGAGGACACAGCTAAATTTGACAAAAATCATGCAACCTTTCAGCTTTGTTATGTATTATTTCCCTTTGACTAGATAGTGACAACTGTTGAGATATTCAAGTGTGATGAGTCTCATATTGATTAAAAATGGGTTAAGTGAAAAGTATATAAGTGAAAAGATCCATAAATCCAATGTCATGGGCTCTTCCTAGACCCGCCTGACAGTGGTATCAGAGTCGGATTGTGCTCAAGCTAGCCTGATGATTGGCTATAAGTCGGGTTGAGTACTTGGACCCTGGGTACTCAGTTGAGAGGGAACATATCAATGTTGGGTTTTACACTTGAGGGTTCAGAAGTTCACTTTTACCCTCCAAAGTTGGGAAGATTTATGCATAGAAATTTGTATATTTTTTTTTTTATAACAAAATTTGCCCTTTAAATAGTGACAATTGAGATTCTGCTCATTCAAGCACTAACAAAAATGCTGGCATCACTCAAACTGTCTGTTATTGCTTAACTGATTCATGTTTGATAGTTCAGTTCTATCACTATTTTGCATCTCCTTCCAAGAGTCTTTTCTATGGCACACACACCTACACACACATATTTATATTTTATTGGCCATCTATTATCTATAAAATACAGCATATGAAGTTAACATTGGGCTAAGATTATATCCTTAAGTAACTTTGCCATAACGGTTGTTCTGATCTAAATCTTCTACCACTACTTTTCCATAACCATTTTGCTTCTATCCTTTATGTTGTCGGCTTCAGATTAAGCCTCAAGAGCAGAGTGTGAATTTGTGAATCGGTATACTACAGCACTAGAAGAAAAAAAGATTGAGTAAACAACTGAGACTTCTCTGACAAACGGCTAAGTTATTCAATTTGCCAAGACTCATCTCAAAATTTGTAGTAGTGAACAAAACACATGACCATACATATATCCTCCAAACTCGGACAAATCTTGTTATTGTTTCACAATTTAATATGAGTGTGAGTAATATGACATTAGTATTGGTGGATAGTGGATACCCTTTTGGCCTTTCCTTACCGTGTCTGGGTAGGTGCATAGTTTAAGTATTCACCCTTAATTCAACATGGTCACTGGAATAGTTGTTGATTAAAGAGAAAACTTGGTATACAAGCCTCCCTTACTTGTGAGAGTAGTAGGGTTAATAATACGCAATTTTATCCTTGTATTTTTTTTTTTACAAACAGGATATTTTTAAACCCATGACTTTTCCGTCACAAGAAGTAACCTTACCACTGCTCCAAGGCTTGCCCTTTAAATAATTGTTGACTAATGCTTCCAAAATTAATGCAGTTTAAATATAATTGTTTTGAAGTCAAGAACTCTATTATGCTCTTCTAGAATAAGGATTTGACCAACAGCATCAGCTCAAGAGTTAAGCTAAAGAACAGTGAACTTGTGCACCACAATATACTAGCCAAGAGGTCAGAAGATCTGTTTAAACCAATTCAAGCTAGAATTTCTATTGTAATTCAGTGATCTGGATTTACAGGAAACGCCATTAGCCAAGTAAAGCTAGGTACAAAAGAGCAGTGGGAAATTTTACAACTAGCAAATTTACACCTATCTATCATAGATGCAAATCTAGTTCCACAGAAAATAATGCCATATGCTAGTACAGATACAAATTTGATGTAGAAATCATAACTTTGATATTTTGCTAAGAATTTAAGCCTAAAAAATCATAAAATTGGAGAGACCTTTGTGTCTGAATCAGCCTCAGAAACAGAGAAATGAAGTAAACAACTAAAAGCCCTCCTCCTAAGAGTCCATTAAGCTTCATATCTCTTCTTATCAAAACCACAAGTGCCCAAACTAATCCCACCACCAAAAATGCCAATGTTTCCCAGAGATATGGATCTCTAGGAATCACAACAGGTTGTGGGTACTCTGACCATGTACAAGTTACAAGAGACAAGCCTAATCCAACTACAGTATTAAAGATAGGGCCAGCATAACAACCTGATATTGCTATTTGAGCACCCTCAGGTCCACCATTTAAAGCCATTGTTAAATTTGTCATCAAATCACCAATTGAATTCCCCCAAGCAAGAACTGTTAATCCCAATATTGAAGGACTTATTCCACTAATGTAGCCAATTGATATCAGCAACCCCACCAACTCCTGAGCTAAAATGTAGCTCCAAGTAACACTCATTATAAACCCTCCTGCAAGCCAAGGAAATAAGCACTTCTTTGGTGGCATTGACATTTCTGTTGTAAAATATGCAGTTACACCAAATGTAACTCCAACCAAGAGTCCAATTCCATAAACAATTAGGTTTGTGCTGCTGAAGAAACTTTTTTCCTTGTTAGTGGTCCATATAACAGACATGAGAAGTGGTGCTAGTATCACTGAGCAAACTGCATAAGGCTTTGACCACCTCTCTTCACAAACAACAGGAATTGTCAATCTCCTAGGCAAGTAAAGTGGCAAATTCAGCACATAAAGTGACATTCGACATATCGAAGATCTCATCAAGCAGCAATTGTTATTGATATTCAAATCATATTCTTGACCACCATTTTCAACACAATCAATCGGTCCTTTCTTCATACCACTGAGAAGAGGCACACTCAAACTCAAGTCATTGCCATAACTTGAAATATTATTAACATTCCTTTCAACATCACCACCATAACCCTCCTTCCATCGGGTAGACGAGAGATAAACAACAATTACATACACCACATACATCAAAGTAAAACCAATTGCTCCAAAAACATTGATCTCACCAGTGACAAAAATAATAAACAAGCAAAGAAGAACCAAAAGGAGAAAACAAACATCTCTTACGAAAGCAGACTTTATGACTTGAACCCTCCTGTGACGTATTGAAATGCTCACTATCCCCACCACAACACAGGTCACAAAAGAAACACCCCCAAGTACTGTGTTATAACCAATGCTTTGGGTCCCACTTCCCTGGAAAGAGACAAGGCTTGAGAAAACATCACAGGCACCATTGCCAAGAGAGAGGAGGGTGACTCCAGCAATTGTAGGGGACAATCTCAGTAACTTGGACAGGTTTTCAAGGGAAGAACAAAAATACTCAGAAGTTGTGTTAGCCAACAGATAAAGTAGAACTAGGAGCCAAAGAAACAAGAGACTATGACCCAATAGAGGGAATCTCCCAAATTTGCAATAGAAAAGGTAAAGGTAATCAATATAGCCCTGAGAGTCACATGGGTCATTGGATCTCAGGTACATGCACTTGGCTTTGTAGTCACCCATGTGGTGTAAGCTCTTGCAATCATCCTCATCATTGTCATCAGAGGAAGAGTTGTTGCTCATAACCAAAGCTTCATGAGAGTGAAAATGAACAATCATGAAAGCACAAATCCCCATAAGGAAAGAGATGTTCAAGAACAAGGTGTAGCAACCCATGCGTTTAGGCATAGAAACTGTTATAGCCATATTCAGAGAGAAACAGTCAAAACCCAATTTCAAACACCAAGGAAAGATGGTAAATTTATGGTTAAGGAAAGCCTGGCATTTGTGAGAATGAAGCAAAAGAACTGAGCTAAAATCCCACAATAGGAAAAAGAAAAATTATAGAAAGGAACAGACTTTAAAAGTTTGGTGTTTAATGGGGTATTTTTCTTGTTTGTTAAGAAAAGAGAAAAAGAAGGATGAGTGAGAATATGGCAAATCATAAACAATTGGATTTGTAAGATAAAAACTTTAGTACATTATGAAATGACTGAGAGTGCAACATAACAGTAACTGAGTGTGGGATTTGATGGTTTTGGCACTGCAATTTGAGAATGGTGAAAGGCAAATATAGAGAGAGGCCTGAACCGAGTGCAATTTGATGAGAAGCATTGTGTATTGAATTGCGAGCAAATATGAATGAAGCCATAGTTGTGATGGTGACTTCCCAATTTATATAATATCTAACCTGAAATTAATAGCAATTTAAAGTTATTCGCTGACAAGTAAGAACAAAGATCCCCCACTTTTTATCTTACCTTTCACATCAAGTTTGCGATTGCCCTCATGACCCATGAATACTGCACTATTAATAATGTTTTTTTTTTTTTGGTTTTGGTGTTTGTCATCTTAATTGACATAAGTTATGTCTAGGAGAGAGATAGACAAAAAAAATGAAAATCATAAGAGAGAGAAAGTGAGTGATTTTTTTTAATTTAAAATTTAAATAAAAAAATATTTTATGTATGCTTTTCTCTTAAAATGACATAACTTTATGTTATTTAATAAGAGAAACACTTTTTCCTCTTTTTAACATTTATCGATTACTTAATTAATTTGATTGAGATAAAAAATAGATCACAAATACGATAAATCTCTCCTTACTAAGTTATTTATGCATTTTCATCTTTTTCTTGAAAATAATTTTTTTTATTTTGAAAATACCTATGTGTTTTATTTTGTTTTTTTATTAAGTATTGAGAAGTAAATTTCTTTTTGTTTTATTTTGTTTTTTTATTAAGTATTGAGAAGTAAATTTCTTTTAAATTGACTTTTCAATTTTATTTTTATTAACACCACATTATGAATTCAGTTTTCTTTAGACGGGCTTTATGTTGTGTAATTTTATTTTGTTTTAGACATTCCTAACATTTTTCTTTAAATATTAAATATAAAATTAATTATTTAAAAATTCAAAAAATTCATTTGTAAATTATAAATGGTGGACTCAAAACATACATTTATGATACAATTCTTATCACGAAACATTGAACATAATTAAAAAACTTAAGATATAATAATTGTAAATTATGACACATTATTGAAAACAAATGCAAAATTTCATGAAAATACATTACAACAAATCTATTGAAATAAGCCAAAAAATGCAAATAATAATAATGATGATAATAATAGTGTATACCCTAATATGTATGTGTAATTTTATACGGGAAAAATTCAAAAATTCCCTAATGGTTTCTCTTAAAATCACTTACCCCTTTATGTTTATTTTTTAATCATTTATCCCTTATAATATTTTCCATCCAGCTCACCTTCTAACTCCATTAAAAATTAAATTAAATTGTATATTTTATCCTTGTCTACAATTTTATATTGCCATGCTTTTTTTATTCAACTCTGATTGTTTTCTAAAATTTATACCAAATTGTCAAAAAAAAATTCATCCCAACGATATTGAGATAAAAATTACAATCAAAACTACAAGTTAACAACTAATTTCCATCTTCCAATAAAATAATATTCACAATATTGTTAGCAAGAATGAACGCTTAGAATTATTATTTTTCTTCTTACAAATATATATATCTTCAATAAAATTGACTTGTATTTTATTCACAATTATTGTTAGCAAGAGTTCAATTTAATGCATGTTATTTGTATTTTAACTCAATACTCCTCATTTAACTCAATTTAAAATAAATAAGGAGTCCATTAAGCTCTTTGTATTTTAACTCAATTGGCACATCATTTATTTGAATTTTCCTAGATTTTTATATTTTATTCGTGGTCAATTCACTTCTCATATGTGCATATTTGCTCATAACTTTGAGCATAATATTGGTGAGTATAGTACAACAATAGACCAATCTACTCCTTAATATTTTAATATTTCTTTCAACGTTTTTATTTGTTTTTACCTATCTTTGGCTCACAATTTTTCATTTTAATTTTTGAACCCAAAATAAAAAATCATATTTACATATAAATTAATTACTTAAATAATCTTAATTTTATTTATTAAATTTAAGATATTAATACATTTATCAAAATGAAGTCATGTCAGTTTTATTAAAAATATATAAATTTGTAAGAAGAAAAATAATAGTTCTAATAGTTCATTCTTACTAGCAATATTGTGAATATTGTCTTATTGGAAGATCGAAATTAGTTGCAGTTTTCATTGTAATTTTTCTCTCAACATCGTTGGGATGAAAAGTTTTTTGACAATTTGGTATAAATTTTAGAAAACAATCAGAGTTAGATGGAAAAAAAAACGTTGTAGTATAAAATTCTTATGTCTACAATGATTCTTTTTACAAGGGTAAAATAGATAATTTAATTTCTAACGGAGTTAGAAGATGATCTGGATGGGGGAAAATCATAAGGGTAAGTGTCACGACTTCGGCAAAAGCACCGGTTGTAAAAATAATAAAGCGTGCATTAGTACGAGATCGTTCCCATGAGGATTAGAGTTCAAGCACTAGTTCCCTATTCACGCTTTTTTTGTTGTTGGTGACGGGCTATGCCCCAAACAGAACACAAACATAAAATTACATCAGAGAATGTCTAGCCCTGCGAACAGAGCTAAAATCAAAGAAATACAACCACCTAATCTCAGGAGGGGAAAACTGAAATAAAATAAAATATTCTTGATCCGAATTCTCCAGTGGAAGATTACCTAACCAGTCAGCGCAAGTATTACCTTCTCTATATGTACGTAACAACCGAATAGACCAATTTTTTAAGAGCCATTCTCGTATACACTATTCATGCTTTATTTGGACAAACAATTATGAGAATCTTTGTATTTAAACTTAAAACTAAGCAATAGCATAAAATTTCAGAATTAACAAGCAAGTAATTTAATTGAAGGTTGTTTTGGCAATAAGAAAAAACACAGTCAGGGTTTCAATTTTCTCAATTATTTCTTTATATTATGAATTAAACCTATAAGTAATTGCCCTTAATAAATTGCCAATTTATTTCTCTAAATTAATTGTGGCTCAATTCCTTGACACCCTAATTCTATATAATCTTAAAAGAACTCTAATTCCTTGATTATTCCTCAAGAAAATATGCATTAAGATCAAGAATCACAAGATTGCATAATTATTCTATGTCTATTCCTAGAATCATAAGGATTATGATGATTTTATCAAACAAGATTCATGTACCAACATCTCTATTGTCATATGATCACCCTAAATAAATCTAGAAGATCAAAGACAAAATGTAGAGAGGCCTGAACCGAGTGCAATTTGATGAGAAGCATTGTGTATTGAATTACGAGCAAATATGAATGAAGCCATATTTGTGAATCTTGTGATGGTGACTTCTCAATTTATATAATATTTAACCTCAAATTAATAGCAATTTAAAGTTATTCGCTGACAAGTAATTAAGAACAAAGATCCCCTACTTTATATCTTGCCTTTCACATCAAGTTTGTGATTGCCCTCATGATGACCCATGAATACTGCATTATTAATAATGTTTTTTATTTATTTAATTTTTTTATATTCATCGATTACTTAATTAATTTAATTGAGATCAAAAAATAGATCAAAAATACGATAAATCTCTTCTTATTAAATCATTTATGCATTTTCATTTTTTTCTTGATTAGTATTTTTACGAAAAAAGTTATTTTTTTATTTTGAAAATACCTATATTAGGTGATTATTTTTCAAGATGTGTTTTATTTTGTTTTTTTATTAAGTATTGTGAAGTAAATTTCTTTTAAATTGACTTTTCAATTTTATTTTTATTAACACCACATTAGGAATTCAGTTTTCTTTAGACGGGCTTTATGTTGTGTAATTTTTTTTTTAGACATTCCTAACATTTTTCTTTAAATATTAAGGGTTCATTTTTTTCTGCACTCAATATAGATAAATTATCTACATTGAACATAAAACGACGTCGTTTTGAAGCAAAAATTAAAGTATTTTTGTAATTATAATTTATTTCAGGGTTATAATAATTTTTTATTATAATTTTTTAATTTTTCAACCCGAAACGATGTCATTTGTAAATTATAAATGGTGGCTGCGACTCAAAACATACATTTAAGATAATTAAAAAATTTAAGATATAATAATTGTAAATTAGGACACATTATTGAAAACAAATGCAAAATTTCATGAAAATACATTACAACAAATCTATTGTAATAAGCCAAAAATATGCTAATAATAATTATAATAGTGTATACCCTAATATGTATATATTGTTTTATATGGGGAAAAATCAAAAATTCCCCTTATAGTTTCTCTTAGAATCACTTACCCCTTTATGTTTATTTTTTATCATTTATCCCCTAATGATTTTTTTCCATCAAGTTTACCTTCTAACTCCATTAAAAATTTAATTGAATTGTCTGTTTTATCCTTGTCTACAATTTTATATTGTCATGCTTTTTTCATTCAACTCTGATTGTTTTCTAAAATTTATACCAAACTATCAAAAAAACTTTCATCCCAACAATGTTGAGATAAAAATTACAATCAGAACTACAAGTTAACAACTAATTTCCATCTTCCAATAAAACAATATTCACAATATTGTTAGCAAGAATGAATGCTTAGAATTATTATTTTTCTTCTTAGAAATATATATATCTTCAATAAAAATGACTTGCATTTTATTCATAATTATTGTTAGCAAGAGTTCAATTTAATTCATGATACTTATATTTAACTCAATGACTCCTCATTTAACTCAATTTAAAATAAATAAGACTT